CATCAGGATCTTCTTGGCATACGCAACACAAAAAACATCAAAGTTCATGAAATGGATGTAAAAAGTGTTTTTCTCAATAGGGAATTAAAAGAAGAGGTTTATCTTCAGCAACCTCTGGGTTTCGAAAGCATTGAATTCTCAAACCACTGCTACAAGCTTGAAAAATAGTCTATGGTCTAAAACAAGCCCCTAGAGCATGGTATGAGACTCTATCTGAATGTCTTGTCTCTTCAGGTTACAAACGAGGAGTGATTGATCCCATATTATTTCGAAAAGAAAATGGTGATCATCTAATGCTTGTACAAATATATGTGGACGATATCATTGTTGGCTCAACTGATCAAAAGATGATGGATGAATTTGCAAAGCTCATGACCAACAAATTCCAAATAAGCGAGAATAGAGAGATTAATTTCTTTCTAGGGACTCCAAGTGAAACAAGTCTCTCAATGGTTTTTCATTCATCAAGAAAAATACACCTCATAACTATTGAAGAAATATTCAATTGATAATTGCTCTTCGGCTAAGGTCCCTATGGCCTTCGGTTATAAGATATCTGCTGATCCCTCAGGTGAATCTGTTGATCACAAGTCTTATAGAGGTATTATTGGATCTCTGATGTACCTCATGCTAGCCAACCATATATAGTCTTTGCAACGGGTGTATGCGCAAGGTACTAGGCTGATCCTAAAGTCTCTCATATGACCGCAACCAAAAAAATTTGTATTGTTACTTAAAGGGAAGCAAATCTCTAGGATTATGGTACCCCGTAGGGAATAATTTTAGTCTTCAAGAATTCACAGTGGTGGATCATGCTAGATGCAAACTTGATCATAAGAGCACCTCAGGAGGATGTCAATTTCTAGATGGAAGACTAGTCAGCTGGTCCACAAGGAAGCAAAATTGTGTGTCATTGTCTACCGCAGAAGATGAATATGTGGCCGTAGCCAACTGCTGTTCTCAAGTCTTATGGATGAAAACACAACTATTGGACTACGAATACAGAATATTGCGGATACCAATCTATTGTGCTCTGAAAGTTCTATAGCGGTCTCTCACAATCCTATTCAGCACTCCAAAACCAAGCATATTGAACTACAGTATCACTTCATCAAAGACCACATCGTGAAAGGTAACATTGAACTAATTTTTGTCCATACTAATGAAGAGATTGCTGATGTATTCACAAAGGCACTTGACTCTACAAAACTCAACATTTTCTTACAAATGTTAGGAATGATGAATCCAGACCCACAATTCTTTTTGAATTAATAGATACCGCAGACCATCCCCGGTCTCCGTTGCGGTCCTAGTTGAAGTTAAGTATGATAGATGGTTTTATTATATCCTATATACCGCAACCATATATACCGCAACCATATATCATTCTTATACTTCAATGGCCTTTATTGTTTGTTATTACTAATCATTGTTCAACTGTTCCTCTCATTTCTTCTACCGCAGTCATCCATCCGATGGCATTTAATCTATCTGCAATGAATTTTCAATCCGTAGTCACCATAACTAATTCTTTCAATTTTTTTAAAAGGGTGTGCTATTTAATGATCCTTCATTAAATAGAGAAAACAAAAAAAGAGCATTTTAATAAAAATAAAAAAAACATTCATTGTGCATCTGTTTCATTCTTTTTGAATAAACCTAGTGCCATACCTATTTTAGGTATGATGACAAAAAGAAAGATTTTTCAAAATCATATCGTTTTAATCTGTCTCTTCTTATTACCCTAAAACATCAAATCCATTCTAACTTCCCTGTTAACCAACGAATTGCTCTCTCCCTGACCACATGTTCTCCAAACGTGGTTATCAATCTGACATTTCATTAAACGCAAACCCCTTTTTGGTCAATCTCAAAATATAGATTTAATCTTTATTTAATCTGTGGCTGATATTAATGCTCTTATTTCGAAATAAACACCCAAACGTTTTACTCAAATTCACTTAGGGCAAAAACTTTTTCCGCTCCCTTAAACTACTATAAAACCCCTTTCTTCTCCACAAAGAACAATTTACGCTTTTTGAATCATAAACCTTTCTCTTGCACTCTACTTTTCTTCGTTCCAAGCTTCTTTGAAAAATCAACAATAGTGAAATCCGGTGCATCCAAGAAACCTTCCAAGGCATCTGGATCAGTGAACCCTACTAGTTCAGACTCTGCTTCAAGACATCCCACACCAACGATTGCATCAAGCAACTTCAGAGCTGTGTTTGAAGAACATTCTTTCTACAATGCCCCTACAAAATTGATGATCAAGTTCCTATCCAATCACCCACTGTTTAGACTCTTCGATTCATTCACGGACATTATTCCTCTCGCAATCCTCTTCAATTATGCTTTTTCAGCCTATCAACCACTCGAGAATCTTCAAGAAGTGCATCTCAATCTAGTCAACGATTCGTTGGTCATCTTGACCAAGGGGAAATTTCTCACTGCCATAAACCTCCTCGTTCATCCATCCATCAAGATCTTTACTCCATCAATGGCGGATATACTTGTTGCACTCTACCAAATGGGACAAAGGAAGAAAATCAAAGGAATTTGTGAATTCAAGAAAAACCAATTACCTGCGGTCTGGTAATTCGTTTGTCACTTTATCATCTGCAGTCTATCCGACAGAACCGGAGGCACAGAGAACATGGGACTCAAGCTTCTAGAACTAGTATGGAGCATATTTATAGGTCATGACGTCAACTACGGTCAGATCCTATAGGATGATTTTCTGCAATACATTCCAAAGCAAAGCCCACGAGAGAACCCTACCGAACTCACCTTTGCTAGGTTTTGGTCTCTTTACATCTCCGATCTCCATGCGGATGTAGGAATCAGCATAGACAACGACATCAAATTCTTTGTCACCAAGGATCTTAAAAGGTACAATCCTTCATCTGATCAGACTGTTTTTGGACCAATAAGAAGACTACCCACTCATATTCTTTCCACCATCGGTCTTGAGACTGCTGATGTCTCAGATCACATTGAGGTTACAGAAGGTATTGCCCCATACCTTCTCACCCCTCCTCCTCCAACCTAATCCGCAGTTCTTGATCCCACTAGTACCGCAATCCCATCTTCCACAACTCTTTCCAACATTTCCTTATCCCAAAGACGCAAGCAGCTAGTCTCTGCTCATCAAGGCCCCCGCAACACCAAGAAACAAGTCACTCCTAAGAAAAAGGATGCTCTCAAACAAACCAATCCATCAAAGAAAAGAAAAATCACTCCACTCGTGATAGCAATTGTTGAACCAAGCCAACATCAGGCTCCCTCTTCTTCTGGTAGTGATCTTGTTAAGGATGATCAACCCATTGCAATCCTCAAGAAAAAGAAAAACCAATCCCACACACCAAATGCGTAACTGGACTGATACCTCACCCTCTCAACAGACTCCGGTAGTCCTTGGGGTGCCCACACACCCATTCGAAACCACCATCGAATTCCTACTAGACTCAGAAAGTGAGTGTGTTTCACCACATCGTGGAGACCCCCCAGGTCAATCCCAAGAGGATAGATCTGGCTCCCGCCCTAAGGTCTCCAGGGCTTCCCGTCTTCATTTATTTTCCCCTGAGGAGTTGCAATCCATCCTTTTGTCTATCACCCAAACACTTCAAACACCATCCCAACCACAAGGCGATTCTTCAGCCTTTGCCAGAACTGAACTGAGGCCAGACTTGACCCTAGGTC